AGCATACCTACCAGAAAGGGCATCAGTAACCACATTCTCCTTACCTTGCTTGTAGACGATCACATAGGGGAAGGATTCATTGAACTCCACCCACTGCGCATGTCGTCTGTTCAGCTTATGTTGTGCCTTCAAGTACTTCAAGGATTTATGATCTATGTGGATTACGAACTCCTCAGTCCAGAGATAGTGATGCCACGTTTCTAGAGCTCGGACAAGAGCATAGAGCTCCTTGTCATATGTGGGATAGTTCAAGGCAGCGCCACTCAACTTTTCTCTAAAGAAAGTGATTGGCCTCTTCTCCTGCATAAAAACAGCACCAATGCCTACACCAGAGGCATCACACTCGATCTCGAATGTTTTAGAAAAGTCGGGCAACATCAACAAAGGAGCATGGGTTAGCTTATATTTCAAAAGCTCAAACGCTTTCTGTTGAGCTTCACCCCATTGAAAGGTCATGTTCTTTTTAATTGTTGCAGTTAAAGGAGCAGCAATGGTGCAGAAATCCTTTACAAACCGTCGATAAAATCCCTGCAAGACCATGAAAACTTCAAACCTCATTCACATTAGTTGGGGTGGGCCACGCTTTTATTGCCTCAATCTTTTCCTCATCCACCTCAATGCCCTTTCGAACTCACCACAAACCCCAGAAACACAAGTCTATCAATACAAAACATGCATTTCTTGAGATTACCATACAATTGTTCCTTTCGAAGAGTTTCTAAAACAACCCTAAGGTGATTCACGTGGTCATCTAAGTTCTTAGAGTAAATAAGAATATCATCAAAATATACCACAATGAATTTTCCAATAAAAGCTCGCAGAACATCATTCATTAGTCTCATAAACGTGCTAGGCGTATTAGTTAAACTGAGAGGCACAAATAACCACTCATATAAACCATGCTTTGTTTTAAAGGGAGTTTTCCATTCATCACCTTCTTTCATACGAATTTGATGGTATTCAGATTTAAGATCTATCTTAGAAAACACACTAGAACCATTCAATTCATCTAGCATATCATCCAATCTAGGAATGGGATGTCGATACTTTCCTGTGATGTTGTTGATGGCTCGACAATCAAAACACATACGCCAAGTCTTATCCTTCTTAGGTACGAGTATGACGGGTACAACACAAGGACTCATGTTCTCTCGAACAAGGCCCTTCTCCATCAGCTCGTCCACCTGCTGTTGAAGCTCTTTGGTTTCCTCCGGATTGGTTTGATACGCCGGTTTGTTCGAAATTGAAGCACCAGGAACGAAATCGATGTGGTGCTCGATTCCTTCGATAGACGGCAGCCCCTTAGGAGCTTCCTCAGGGAAGAGATCCTCGAATTCATGCAAAACAAGCTGGACACTGCTTGGCAAAGCCTGCAGATCGTTAGAGCTAAAAAGCGTCTCCTTGTAAAGGAGCATGATCATCGGCTCATGGGTGTTCAAAGCTTGCTTAATCTCACCTCCACTCGCAAAGAAGTTCTCTATTCTCACCGGAGCTTCAGTCATCGTTATTTTCTTTTCCACATTGAGATTTATGTTTTCCTCTCGTGGCTTGCTCACTAGGGTGGGGTCACTCAAATTTTCTCTCTTCGTTTCTCTCAACTCGAATTTTGCTCCCTCTCTTGCTCACAGAATTGTTGTAGCTTCACTTGGTCTTCATAGACCTCTTTGGGCATCATTGGCACTAGAGTATGTGATCGCTTCTTGCAGGACAAGCTGTACTTGTTGGTCCTGCCATCGTGTTGGGCAGCTCGATCGAATTTCCAGGGACATCCCAATAGGATGTGGGCAGCCTGCATAGGTACCACGTCACAGAGCACCTCATCCGTGTACATCCCAATTTCGAAGCTCAATAGCACTTGACGTGTCACCTTAATTACTCCATCCTCATTCAGCCACTGCAAAGTGTAGGGTCGCGGATGCTTGATGGTCTTCAAGCCTTGCTTTGCCACCATGTGTGAGCTAACAACGTTGTTGCAGCTCCCTTCATCTATGAACATAGAGCACAACTTCCCATTGACCAAGCAACGGGTATGGAATAGGTTTTCCCGTTGCTCAATTTCTTCCCTTTGTTGCACGTTCAGAAGTCACCGAGCTACGTAGGTGTAGTGGCCTTGCACCGGACGCTCCTCAGCTTCTTTTTCATCGTCTTCAATCACGACCTCTCCCTCTCCAGGCTCGGAGGCGTACTCACCATTCTCCAGTAAGATCATCACTCGCTTGTTCGGACAATGATTCACCACATGACCTCGACCTTGGCACATGTAGCACACAATAGAGCTCGAATGTGTGTTAGTAGTTGCCTTTTCTCTAGCATTGGCGGCGGTCGGCTTGGGTACTACTTAGGCTCCTCCTTATTCACAAATGGAGCTGGAGTTGCACTCGAGGAGGCACGCGTGCCTGGGGCAACCCTCCTTGCATAGCCTCCCTTATACTGCTTCTCGACCTTAGTAGCCATCAGCACCAGATCCTCAATTTCCACGTAATGGTGAATCTCCACTACCTGCCTGATCTCCCGATTGATGCCATTGATAAATCGAGCCATGGTTGTTTCTCGGTCTTCATGGACTCGAGCTCGAATCATCAATGTCTCCATCTCCTTGAAATAATCCTCGACGCTCTTTGCACCCTGTCTCAACACGTGAAGAGCTTGATGTAGATCCCGTTGGTGATGAACATGCACAAATCTCTTCCTCATGGCTGCCTTCATTTGATGCCAGGTCGTGATGGGCTCTTCCCCGTGCAATCTCCGTTCAGCACCCAGCTGGTCCCACGAAACAACGACATAGTTAGAAAACTCAAGAGTATCAATGATTACCCTCTTCCGTTCGGAGTAATCATGGCACTCGAACAGGTACTCCATATTTCTCTCCCAGTCGAGGTAAGCTTCAGGATCACGTCTCCCTTGAAATGATGGCACCTTCACCTTCAGCCCCTCATATCATCATCCCTATGTTGGGGATACTCTTCCTCCTTGTAGTCATGTGGTTCAAGAGCTCTACGAGCATGAACCTCTACCTCCTCTGCCTCGCAGGGGTCTGAGATTGTTGGGACCCAGAGGTCGACCTCGCCTTCCACCCGGTGGTGGGGGTGGAGGTGGTGGATAGTCGTCCTCCTCCTCTTTCTTGGGATGGAGATTGATAGCTCGGGCCATCTCATTAAGATCAATGTTGATCTGATCCTGTTGGTCGCGCATCATCCGAGTAAGACGTCCCACCAGAGCATCCATGGTGGTTTGTGGAATGCCTTCCAAGTTCTGAACTTCTCCGTTTCCTGCCATTTAGTTCAGAAACTCGAAACAAGAAATTATCCGTCAATGCTTAAAGTTTCAGACTGATAGTACGAAGAAAAAGTCGTCACGGAATCACTCCCTCACGGGTTTGCACTCGATTGAGATCACTCGTTTTTAGAGGTGGCAATTGGATCGGATTCGTGGATTCGTGGATTGGATTCGTGGATCCATGGATCAAATGGATTGGATCCAATGGACTGGTGGATTCATGGATTGGATCAAGTGGATTGGTGGATTGATCCATGAATCCAAATGACATCCAAGGCTTGGACCAAAATGTAATTTTTGAAAAGTTTAGGTACTAAAATGTCATGATGAAAAATTTTAGGTACCAAAATGTAATTTTCCAATGTTATTTTTCGTATAAAAATATAAATTTTAGGTACCAAAATGTAAAATATAAAAAATATAGGTACCAAATCGTAATTTGTCATTTGGATCCATGGATTGATCCATGAATCCACCAATCCAATTTGATTTGGATCAAATGGATTGGATTTAAATGGATTGGATTAGGTGGATAATTTGGTGGATGGATTGGATTGGATTCATGGATTTGGATCCTAATTGCCACCTCTACTCGTTTTCTTACCACTCGTGTTTCACTCAACAGAATTGGCTTTTACCCGAAAATGAACTCACAAAGCCTCTTTCCACTCTCACTCTGAAACCCTATGTAAGAACTTCTCACTTCTCAAGCAACGCAATCAGAAACCAACCAAGAACAACACACGAAATGACTTCCTTGGTGATCTGACCTAGTTCCCGCCTTTTTCTTTACTTTGATTTTCGTTTTTTTTTTTGCATTTTTTTCATTTTTTTGAACGGCTTTTTCCAGATGCACGTTACTTTTAATATCTAATAAAGTTATTTATGAAAAGCTTTCGTTATTTTTCCAAGGTATTTTAGTTCTTATTTTGGTTCACGTTTTATCAAGAGCAGTTTGGCCAAAGTTGTGTCTGGCCAGACTAGGGCAGGTGAAAAACATAGGCCATTTTAGTTCTTATTTTGGTTCACGTTTTTCCAAGGTATTTCTAGTTCTAATTTTGCTACTCAAATTATATGACTGCCTTTATATTCGGAGGTAGCTTTTGGGTGGACTGGATCATCAAATACATAATGAAAGGTAGAAGGTTGTGGGAACTCAAAGATGCTGGTAGTGGTTCTTGGATTTGGAGGAAATTGTTGAAAAACATAGGCTATTTTCAGTTCCATTTTGACGTGGAGGGTTCAGGGCAGGTGAGATAAACAGATGGCTTAATATTCTGAGAAGAAAATATGTAGCAGTATAGAAATGGAGACAGCTTAATAAGATCATCTAACTACAGGGGAAAACCCTCACGGTTCAACCTGACAACAACAATCTCTATCCATAGCAATTATGTTTTGGCTTAGACATCTACCAAAACACATGGATGACCTTAATTCATGGATGACCTTCCCCGCGCAAGACATCTTCCAACCACGCAGAATAACGATCAACCTCGGTTGGATTCAACTCATTAGAAGTTTCATTTTGTTCTTCTAGTAGAGACACCATCTCATCATAGTACTTTGACTGCAACTGAATCTCATCACCTGCACAATTTTTTTTTTTATATTATTGAGTTGTGTTAAGACATTTAAAATTGAATATCATAGCAAGACGGGAAGTTAAGTTCAATAGGTACCACGTGGAGTAAAAAAAGGGGGACTAGGCACAACATTAGTGGCACCTGGAAATTCGATTGTGTCTGTAACTTGGAAGCCTTGTGCGGAGTGAGTAGTAGGAATTACATTTGTGGCATTGGAGTTTCGCATGATTTTGGCATCCCTAATACTATCAGCAGTCCCTTGTACATTTTGCTCGTTTTTCCAATGTTGGTGACTATTGTAGAATATGGCAGAATTGGCAGCGTGGAGCTTGCCATTGCCTGTAAATTGTAACAAGTCGATCAAATACATTTAGCAAGGTCGATCGCAAGATAGCTAAATAGTGCTATAACCATGTGTATATCCTAGCTAAGCTAAGTAGAAAACATCAAAAATATATAATTAATCACCTGCGGCAATGAGCAGCGCTCCTTTGACTGATTGTAGATTGTAGGGAGTAACCATCCCAGTTGGTAAGACCTTTTTGAGATTATCAGCATTATCTGGAGCAGCGTGATCTACTGTCACAAATTGAATTAGTTGTAACAAACAAATCATGTACTATATATAATTAATGTAACTAGCTAGCTACATCCTGATTAACAAAAGAATTAATGGTTTATGATTGATTGCCTCTGATCCCCAACTCGGATGCTGATGTATCTAACAATGGATACACACTTGGTTCATCATCTCCTCTAGGCATCTGTAATTTGTGTTTCTGAAGAAGAAATGTGATCGAGTTAATTCATTCAAACTAGGACGAAGCTAGCTAGCTAACTAAAATAGGTGATTACGTACGCTATATATTTATTTACCTGTAAATGACTTGAAACATGATTAGCCTGAGCTTTTGTGAGAAAATTTTCTTTACTACTAGTATTGGTGGGAAATCCTTTTACTCGGTAAGCATGCTGCCATATATGCCTTAATTCGCTGAAGGTCACTGGTTTACTCAGGCAAAAACAAGCTCCGTCCCTTAACACTTCGCGTGTTTTGCTCAAATTTCTTTCTGGAAGTAACACTGCATAACTCATAAAATTAAGAATGGCAAAAACTCCTATGTTAACTTTAAATTATAAAGAAAACAAAGAAGTTTTTTGTCAACAAAGTATATACATTGATTACCAAAAAAATCAAAAGAATTCAGACTTACCGATGATAGGAATCCCCTTCTGAAGCAATAGATGCATAAATTTACGCTTTTCCATGTCTGGCATATCAAGGCTTGCCATGATGATTCTAAAGCCGTCACTTTGTTCTTCAATCTTTGACAAAGCAGCAGAAGCAAGTTCAGTAGCGGTAACTGCATAGGAGAAGAAGAAGAAAAAAACAACTCAAGTTCAACAATTTTATTTTGCCATCTTCGAAGATAAACTACCATATTAAGATGGTAATATGAAAGCTCTTGTCAGGGTACAATCTAAATAGACATCGGAAATACAAAGAAATATCCTTTAAATATAAGTATTCACATAGCCTCATTAGAACTAGGCTTTTGGAAGCAACTGAATAATAAATCAGTATGGGGTTGGCCAAAAGAGGGAAATATCATACTAATGGTGCATCTGATTTCAACTAGTGGTATCAAAGCCTCGTTTCAAACTTCGGATCCTAGGAGATGGACGCCGGTTTGGTGGACCCTCATTTAGTGACCTCAAGATTTGAGATTTTCATTTGATTAATTCATTAAAAGGAGATTTATGTTTAATAATCTGTCTGGCTCGAAAGTGTCGATACAAAGGTGTCTGGTGAATCAAGATAATCATTGATGGGAAGATGCACAATTCGTGGTCCTTCTTATTAGGGGAGAATTGTTAAAGCACAATCCATGTACTACATCGAAAATATAAGGGAAAAGACCATTGATGACCCATAGAAAATACTATTTTAAACTCTTTTATTATGGCCAGAATTACATGGTTTTCACATCTTTAATGTTACAGGAGCTTGTATTTGCTTAATAATTACTCAAGGTGTGTTTTAGTAGCTCTAGTAATGCTCACTACAACAAAACAACCATTTTGCGTTGATTATTTTATATTTTTTTTGTCGGTTCACTTAACCAACATGAAACCTGCAGACACTAACCAAATTCGTGTCGGTTTTGGGCAGCCGCCGGAATAACCGACACAAATATGTTTTGAGTCAGTTATGTTGTGTCAGTTCAATCAACATGAATTGTTAACTGGGAAAAATTGTTTCTGAAATAAATTTACTTTTTGTGTCCGTAAATAACAGACACTTATCTCCATTTTTTAAAATAGAAAAATTCAAATCAACTATCAGGCTGTTTTTGCCTCTGACTGCCGATCTAGCCTTCACTCCGCAGCACTGATGTCACGATGGCACCCACTGAAACCCAGAAAGCAACCCTTTTCTAACTCAGTTGGAACCCCCAAACACCACTATTAATCCATCTTCATCCTCCTACTCAGCGAGAATTGAAATCTTCCATTTCTGGAAGTTAAATATATTGAAAGAGAAGTATGACAGATGTGTATACAAGTACAGGAGAATTAAAAAAACAAAGAGCAACATGCAAGGGGGTTTTCAGTCACAGAAGGAAAACAAAATCACCAAGAAGAACAAAGTAGCAGACAATCTCCTTCAATAGGGGTGTAAACCCAGCAATCAAAAATACCCAAACCCATAATTGAAACCTTTGAAACTCAGAAAAAGCCCCCCCCCCCCCCCCCCAAAAAAAAACCCATCAATAAAAAATCTCCAAACCGGGAAAATTAGAATTCAACAATCTCCGCCGCCCTCCCACCTTTCAACACCACGCAACACGTCTCTTTCACCACCGCTCGACTCTGCCGTAGATCCACGCCGATGCACTGTGAATTGGCACCTTCATGGTAGATCTAGCATAACGTTGACGAAGATAGTTGGTGAACCTAAGAATTCAAAATCAGACCAAATGAAGAATTGAGATGGAGAAGGGGTGAAAGATGGCTAACGGTGACCGTTGTGTCGTTGTGCGTGAAGAAATGACTAAAAGAGGAAAAGGGTTCTCAATACCATCTTCGATTTGGGAAGCGACGGCTGGAAAGAGGAAGTAGGGGTGACCAAGAGGAAGGGAGAAAGGGGCTCTCAATCCCTTTCTTCGATTTAAAGATGGGGTGGCCAGAAGAAGGAATTCGTCAATGAGGGATGCTGTCATGTGGAGGAAAAGAAATAAGAAGCGGTGGGGGATTTGGGGAGGAAAGAAGGAGACGAGAGACAAGATGTGTATTAATTTGTCTGGGAAGAGGGGAGGTAGGTAGTGAGGTAGATGAGAGAGAGGAGAGATGGAGAAATATTGGGTGGGCTATTAAAATTTTAGGTAAGGTTTGGTAAGGATGGGAGGGATTGGGTGGTAGATTGAAAATTTTAGAGCCAAAACCTGAAAAAAATGAAATTCAATTTTGTGTCATTTACAACCGACTCAATTAAATGCTATGCGTCGGTTATAACTGACACAAAATATAACTGACACAAAATATAACCAACATAAATAAAATAAATTTCTTTGTTGAAAAAATAAAATTTAGTTTTGTGTTGTTTGCAATCGATACAGATAAAAAATTTGTGTCGATTGAATTTTACTAATCTTTGAACACCCTACAGTTAAACAACAAGGAGAAAGGCAAAGGCTTTGATTCCTGAACCTACCATTGTGCCCTCATTGAGAAAATGGGTAAGATTCCACAAGATCAAACCTATGTGACTTAAGAAATAACGGAAGAGAATATTAAAAAAAAAAAAGAAATAAAAAAATAAAGTAAAAGAGCTCAGATTCTAAATGAACGAAGATCGACGCAAAATGTAATTGACACCAATACTCAAAAAGTTGTGTTAGTTGAGTAACCGACGCAAATTTACCACACAAAACCTAACTTTCGTGTCGGTTCACTTGATGGATACAACTCAAACGAGACTAAACACTTTTTTCTTGAAGTGGCTTTTACTATTTTGATGCACTTTTGGTAGTGTTCTTTGTGTATTCAGGGCATAGCATCTTAGTGGACCACCTTGTACAAGTTGTGGAACATCAAGACCCCACTGCTGGGATTCAGAATGCGAGATTGGATCAAGCTCATAAGCTAGTACCAGAAACAGTCAATCATAACCTAAAATGGCGCCTTGGTCGCTGTTATGGAGGGACTCCAAATCGAGCCTTGAATCTCGAGGAATATGCCATATGTAGTGGCCAAGCTAGAGGAGACCCAAAGGAACTCGGAGAAAATATCTAGGCTGACTTTTCCTCCCAGAACACTCGATGTAGGGGACTATAAATAGGCCGCTAAGAAGTAGAAGTTCGGTACCCAATGATATGAGGCATTAGAGGGTTGTTTCTCTTCTGATAGAGTGACTCTTCCGACCTAGAACGAAGTCCAACTTAGAGGGCAAATTGGTGTCAGAAATGGCTCTGTTCTGGCTTTCGATTAAAGGTTTTTTTGGAGATCTCATTTTGACTTATACTCCCTCAAATGATCATCCCCATGGTAGGCTAGTTCCTTTGTTGCATAGATTTGTGAAACCTAGAGGTCTTTTTTTACTATGTAACTCCTGGTTTGGGTATAGATATGAAATTTGATTTCTTTACTTTCTATGTTTGCGTCATTTTCTTATCTATTGTCAACTGGTGGTGATCTTAGTCGAAGCCATACATCCCTTCGAGATGGATGCTTTGAAATATGACTTTGTGTAAGATGAGATCGAACATAACCATCCTTCACGATCAATCATCAATCAATTGGACTGCACGACACCTGAAAAGTGAAATCTGTAGGGTTCTTGTCGCCTACTAGTTTGGGTAAATTACCCATCACAAGATAGTTTGGGTAAATCTGTAGGGTCCTGAGTAAGTGGCTTTAAGAGACCCTAGGGAATATGATCTTAGTCTTTGGACAATGTAAATTTGCCTACACGTACTAAACGCGATCAACCCTTCAACATAAGTGTCCACCTAGCCCCATAAGTATGTGGCCTTTTAAGAAAGAATTGCAAATTAAACATGTGCGGGTTTGGACCAAAGAGGATAATATAATACTAATGGAACTTCATGTTTCAACAAGTGGTATCAGAGCTTGGTTTGAAAGGGCATTGGATGTTAGTTTGGATAGACCCTTATTTGGCGACCTCGGGATTTGAGATCAACTTATGTTTGGAGGATCAACGGAGGTCTGCATCTGATAATCTGTATGTTAGATCATTTGAAATATGCATCTTGAAAACCCTTGTGATTCGGGTCCAAATATACACATTTTACCCTTCATTTCTTGTCTGATATGCTTAATAAATCACCGTCCCTCGACATATTTTACGCTAGGTTGTGTTTGTTTCATTACATTTCAGGTCCTAGTACGCGTGGGAAGATTGAGGACGAGTTTCAGGTCGATTGGAGGTCGAAAAGCGCAAAAAAGTGAAAATATGCCCAAACTTCTGCTCCAGATCGTGAAGTCCTGTAGTGAAACGGCACGAATTGGTTCGAGTTCACGGTCTTGGCTTTGAGTTCACGACCATGAGCTTAGACCGTGAACAGCCTTCGATCTGGGTATAAAAGGCAGTAGCATAAGGAAGAAAAGGGGGAGCTGGTTTTTGTAGAGGGATTCGATTCTCTTTAGGGTTTCAACCCAAAACACCAAATGGAAGTTCTAGTGAGTGTGAGAGAGAGAGAGAGAGAGAGAGAGAGCTTGAGTGATCTTGGAGGTTAATTGGAGGCTTGGATTGATCTTGAAGGCAAGGATTCAAGCCTAAAAGAAGGAGAAGAAGATCTTGGCTCCAATTTATAATTTCTCTCTTCTCTCTCTAGAAACTCACCCTCTTCTCCTGGTTTAAGAACCCTAGGTTTAGATTTGGTTTTAACGTTAATGTATGTGACACATTCCTTGTTTGATTAATGATTATACTTAATTGATGGATGTTTTCATGAATGACATGAGTTGGGTATCCATTTTCATGTATTGATCTTTTGACCTAAGAGGGAAATCCCCTTACAACCCATTATTGGCGTCTTCGGGTCTCTCCTCACCCCATATCACCCGGGTAATCCCCCAGGGAGTCGATTCTATCAATCTACTATGATATAGGGTTGCCCTAGGTTGAATAGAGTCTACCACATTCATTGATTCGCCGTTCCGGGTCCATTTTCGATGGAGTCCATCTCCTAACGGTAGAGTAATTGCGCCAATCGAGCTTTTGACCTAGGAGGCAACCAACTCCTCACCCCATATAGTCCGGGTAATCCCCGAGGGAGTCGATTGGATTGGCCTCCTACGATATAGGGGTGCCCTAGGTTGAATAGATCTCCTACCCGCGCACCACTTCACCGTTCTGGGTCCTTCTCGAGGGATTTCATCTCCTAACGGTAGGATAGTGGGTCGGTCGAGCTAGGATGATACTCAACATCGATCCAAAGGTAGGAAATAGGGGGATTTAACCAAAGAGAGATCCCAAAAATTGTAAATAGCTAGCTTAGTTAATTTAATTCATCTAATCACCATCATAGGTTGGCTAGATAACGAACCCTAAACCTAAAGAATGGTAAGTCTAGATCCCCGTGGTACGATAAATTTTTAATGCTTGCTTGCCCTATGCTACACCCGGGTCGCCGGTTATACTTGGCAAGCGATTGGGATGTTGTAGTTAGAACGAGTCAAGTTTTTGGCGCCGTCGTCGGGGAACCACTCTAGGTTAATTGAAAAAGGGTTAGGTCGTTACTTTAGCCGTTTTGGTTTGTGTTGAGTTTTGTTTACTCACTCTTCACTTTGAAGGGTGGTTTGTGTTTGTTTGATTTTGTCTTTGTGTTTTTGTTTGTGTAGGTTGAATCATGGATCCCAATGGATTCTACAACATGTGGGGGTATCCGCAACAACCCGAATGGGGGTACCTCGGAGCTTCATGGAGCGATCAATAAGGTGGAAGCCAAGGAGACTGGTTCTATGATCAACCTCCCTTCCAAGAAGGACAAACATACTAATGGGGGCATCAAGAAGCTTCCTCATACCAAGAAGATTTCCCTCCACAACCCGAGGAGAAATCCAAGTTGGAGTTGTCCATGAAAACCTTCATGAGACATTCCTCAAGACCATGTGCCACTCCATAACCGTTGCCAAAGATCCAATTGGAGCTCATGGTGGAGTGGTTAGCTCGAGGCACCGATGAAGGGTGCTCAAACTTGGTCTCCCCCAACCCGAAGTGAAGTCTAAGTTGGATCTCCCCCAACCCGGAGTGAAGTCTAAGTGAAGTCCAACACGCATTTCCAACCCCTCCCTCCTCCCGATTTGACACTAGAAGAGAAGGTGGCACGAGCTTGTGCAAGCTATCGCCTCTCATCATTGGAGGAGAAAGAGGAGGTTGAAGGAGCGATCAATGACAACCGTGTGGAGCAAGATGAACTCACCCCGGAGAGCTCCCATGGTGATGATGAACAAGATGGTTGCATTGAAGACTTTCACACCCTTCCCGAGAGCAAATTTGAAGACCAAGTCACGAGTAAGGAGGCGCTAGAGAATCCCTTCTATGATCTTGCATGGCATTTTGTCCTCCAAACCATGCTTGAAGACATGAATGCGAAGGAGAAAAAGGAGGTTGAAGAGGAGGAATGGAGCTTTGAAGAGAAGGAAGATCTTGATTGTTCCCAAGGGGAGGAACGAATTGAGGAAGTAGGAAGGGAGGTTGAAGATGAATTTGTAGGAGCAAGTGGCGTCCAAGATGAGGGCGAGGTTGTGGTGGATGAAGCACCCACAAGTTAAAAGAATTATGAAAGCTCACTACCCGACCTCAATGCGCTTTTAGAGAAGGACCCATTTGCGGCTCTTTGCCAAGCCAAGGCCAAACCATCGGCGATCCCTCTTGGTGGATGCGATTGTGGTAAATTGATGATGCATTACATGGTGTGGGGCAAAAAGAAGAAGGAAGAAGGAAAGAAGAAGAGGTCTCATGGGTGGAGCCTCAAAGCCACTCAAGGTCACGAGCCCTCAATTATGGATTCCTCAAAGCTCATGACTTCAGACACCACCTCACGGACGAGAACCTCAACTTCAAGGAGATTCTTGGGTGGACCGGAACTTGAAGAGCAACCTTCTGGTTCACGATGTTAAAGAAGCAGCGCTTGTTGGGAGGC